ATATATATCTGAGGTAGATGGGACGGGGCCATATGGAGATGGAGACTTGGGCCAAAGGCAACAAATGAGAAGCCAAAGAGAAGGAAAGAAGGTACATTAGTTTAGAAAGAAGGAGCCCCAGAGAGAAAACAAAGGCCCTGTGAGAAGTAGGAATGGATTTCTGAGTGAGAAGGGAGGAAGAGAAAGGGGCTATCTGACCTGGTCAACAAGGTACCCATGGAGCGGGGAGAAGTCCATATGTAAGTAGAGGCAGGGAGGCCCAGGTAGGAGGTTAGGCCAAGGCTGAGATGCACAAGAAGCACCTCTCAGGTGTCTCCCCAGCCCAAGAACCTAGCTCTTACCTGTCCAATCTCCTCTGGAGCAACCAATTCCATCCTCAGTCGCAGGGATCCATCCTTCATCCGCGAGAGTGGAGGGGTACCAGTTGCTGAACCCCCAGCCTCCACTTCCACTCTCAGGGAGGGCAGAGGAGTGGCAGCCTTGGACGGGCCCACACTATTCCCGGTCCCAGGCTCTGGGGGACACTGCTGGAGCAGGGAGGCTGAAAGTGGGGGTATCTCCACTTTGGCTTTGCCGGGTTCTGCCAGCTGGCCCAGTCCCCCAGTGAAGGAGCGCGCCTGAGGTCCAGGGGAGGTGGGAGGTGGACGGAGCCAGGAGGTGGGGCGCTGAGACAGGCCGGGCTGTGGAGTTGGGGTGCCAAGGCCCAAGCTGGCCAGCTCCAATCTGGAATCCAAAGATCTGCCCCCAGTGCCCCCAGAGGCCCCTCGAATTCCCTCCAGAAACCGGCCAAAGCTGGGGGGCTCCAGGTCTCGCTCATAAACATCTACACACGTCCAACGGCCTCTGCGATAAGGCTCTCCCAGGCCGTGGGGCAGCTTCACTACCCGGAAACGGGAGGCGGGGGCCCCAGGCGGCGGGGAGCCATTCCGGGGGGTGCCCTTGCCCCCTGGCTCGGGGCTGGGTTCCCCATTGGGCAAGCGGGGCTGGGGCCCAGTAGGGCATGGCAGGGCAGTGGGAGCTGAGCCTCCTGGGCTCCCTGGGCCCTCATAGTCCGTGGTGACGCTGGTGATTTGGAAACTACTCTTCTTCTTGCCCCCACTCATGATCCCCGGGGTTCTGGACTTGGACACGGAAGGTAGAGTGGGCGGTGGCTGGGACTCCTTGAAGGGGTTCAGGCGCCCCTGGAACACGGGGGCCACATGGTAGGGGCATCAGGGCCCCTGGGGATGTCTGGGTCCGACATGGCAGGAGGGCCTTGAGGAAACGGAGAGCTTGGCTGGTGAAGGGAGAACAGGGTGGGGGAGGCGGTGGCTGGGGGTGTAGGGGGAGGTAGGGGCAGGTTTTTCCTGCTGCTGTCACTGCCGAACTCCAGAGCTGAGTTTGTAAACTGAAAAAAAGAGAACGAGAGAGAGAGAGAGAGAGTGTGTGTGTGAGAAACCAGTGAGCAGGCCACCTCCGGGGCTTCCTCTCCGGGGAGCAGAATGAAGGAGGAAGGGGAAACCCCCAGAGACCCAGACACAAAAAAGACAGGCAGGCAGAGAGAAGAGAGCTCTGAGTGGAGAAGATTGGATCCCAACCGGCATACAGCAGGAGGAGACAGCCCAGACCCACAGCTGGGCACTTCTCGCCTGGGATTCAAACTCACAGGACCGAGGCGCCCCGGGCTGGCGCGGTTGAAGGGAAGGGGGTTTGCAGGGCTCCAGGGCCTGAGCGAACAGGAGGCCGCTCCTCAGACTGGCCTGTCCCTCGGAGGCCTCAGCTGGGTCTCCGGGCCGTCTGCCCTAGCTCCCCCATCCCTGGGGCAGGCCTTGCCTCGCTGCCCCAGCGCCCCGCCCAGCCCGGAGTCCTACCTCGGTCTCAGCCAGCGAGCTGGGCTGGGGGTCCGCGCCGCCCAAGATGTCGGGCTGTCCTTTCCCAGGGGCCTTCCGGCCCCAGCAGCGCGCGGGACGCAGGCAGCGATCAGGGGCTGCCCAGTCTTCTTTGGGGGCCGCACCTCGCCCCGTAAGGCATCTCTGTGGAAAGTTTGCTCTTCAGCAAAGAAGAAACCCCCTCCTCCTTGGTGGAGCCCAGACGCGGCCTCTGAAGCCCCAGGGGTCTCCGGACTGATGCAGGGGGGGCAGCTCAAACCCCCGATCCTCTAGGTGGTGCACCGTCGGTGGTGGGGGCGCGCGGGTCTCCCAAGTCTTCTCCCGCGTGACGCTGCCGGCTCTCTCTCCGCTCCTCAGCTCCTCTCCGTCCAGTCTCGCTGTCTTTCTCGTTCTGAGCTGTTGACAACCCCCACACCAGGAAGTCCTGCCTCCTCCGGCCTGCTGACTGCTCCTCTCCTCCGCCTCCTCCTTCCCCTCTTCCTCCCCTTCCTCCGCCCTCTCTCCCTCCTGGGACTCCCGGCCAGCTGGCCCGGGGCCAGGTCGGCCACCGACGCCGCTGGTGCAGTTGTGCCGCTGCTCCTGGGCCGCGAACAGGTTCCCTTAAGCCCACACTTGTGGGGCGCTAGCCCGGCTCGTCCTCGGAGGAGGAGGCCGGCGAGGGCGGAGAGAAAGGGGCGGGGTTTGCAGGGAGGCCCGGGAACCCCGTACTTGTAGGCACTCGCTGCTGCCCGCCTAAACCCCGCACCAAAGAGTGGGAAGTGGCTTACAGGAGCTCCGCTGGGGGCTCGCCACAGGTAAGCGCCCGATAAATAGTAGGGCGCTGCTGCTGCTCTTATGGTTTTATCTTTGCTGGTTTTCACAGCACCTTCATGAGGAAATAGTTATTCTCTCCTGTCCTTACTTTAAAAAGTGGATTATTAGGATAATTTTCAAACATGCCCCAACATTGGGAGAATAGTTTGTAATGAACTCCCGGGTACCCATCACGCAGTTTCCAGTTTTCAACTCACAGCCAATATGTGTTATCCCTACCCTCTTTTGTTATGTTGTGCTAAAATATTTTAATCTAATCCCAGACATTATTCACCTTCTTAGATAAGGAAATTGGGACCGAGGAGAGTCGAAGGCTGTCAGTCATAGAGTAGGGACATTCCATACACTCAGGTGTGGCCCCTATATGGAGAAACCACGAAGACATGCTCACAGAGGTGCTGGCTTGCACTTTTTCTCTAACCGCTGGTCACACACACGTATGTACCCAGTCACCCACACAGATGCACCTGAAGAGGAACTCAGCTGGCCAAAAGCCGGGGCCCTCCCCTGCCTCTCACCCAATCCTGTCCCTTGCTCAGTAAGGAGAATCCACACTCACAAAGGGCCTACTGTGTGCTTGGTGTGAGAAAATAAACCTCCAACTGCCATATTCTCTCCCCCCTTTTTTTTGGCACCCCCTCACCCCCACCCTAACCAATATTCTGAGAGGAATTATTTTAGCAAAAGCAGTGTCTAATTAGGCCCAACTGTCTTCACTCCCAGGTTCAGAAGGAAATGGATTATAATTAATTCTGGTCAAATGAAACTATTCTCCAGGACATTAGAAACCCCTCATATTTGTCCACTTCACAAAGTTACCTCATGGTATCTGAGGCTAACATAGCAGGTCCTGAGGCCTCCCCAGTCCTGAGGTCCAGGAAAGGAAGCAGCTGCCCATGCACCCCTTGCTCCCCATCCCTCTCCCCTCTGGCCTATTCAGAACCAGCCCTGCTGTTCTACCCCCAGATCCTCCTTCCTTCGGCTGACTTGCTACTAGCCCCAGAATTTATCTTTGGACCTCCCCTTCCCACCAACTCAAGACACTCAGCAGTTAACTTGAACTCCTCCATGTCTACAGCCTCTAGGAAATTTCTCATCTCTGTGGGGATGTTGAATGAATAAAAATTTGTATGCACTAAGGTGTATATGCAAAAGAACTGTTAACATATTTTGTTACCTCTCCTGGGGGTAATTATAATAGCGCTTTAAAAGTATGAAAACCTTTACAATTTACAAAGCTCTTTGTATTGATTACTTTGCTGCCCCTCAAAAACTTTATTAAGGTAGGTAGATAAGGCACCTCTCAGAGAGATTGTGTGATATGCCCAAAGCCACACAGCACAACTGAAAAGACTTTGCTATATAAGGAAATATTCACAGGTTCCAAGGATTAGGGCATCGCTCTTTGGGGGGATCACTTTTCGTCCAGCTAAGGGTGAAACCGAGGTCTTCTTGCAGCTAATGTGCGACAAATGGATTTCGAAGGTAGGATTTCTCAGGGAGCTGATAAGAAAGGTGATGGGGAGCGTGGCGAGGCCGCTGTAACCGGACCCAGGCCTCGGCCCTGGTGGTCCGTCGGAGGCCGACCCCAGAGTGCCCAGGTCCTGGCGGGCGCCGCCAGTGAAGTCAAAGGTTACTGGGAGGATGACTTGGCCCACAGAGGCGGACGGGAGGAAGACTTTGAGCCCAGGCCGTGAAGCAAGGTCCCGGAGCCCGGGAGGCCGCAGGAATAAGCGACGAGTACCCAGAGAGCCAAATCCAGTGCCCTCCCGGCACCTGGGGGACGGTAGGATGATGGGGTGCGGTCATGGGAGCACGCCCCCTGCTGGGCAGAGCCGCCAAAGGTCCGGCTGCCGACTCTGAGAGCCCCTCCGCCCGGAAAGCGGCACCCCCTGCCGGCCTCGCCGCTTCACTGCACTCGGGGCCCCGCAGCCGCAGCCTCGCCCCGTCCCGACGCGGGTTGGGCACCCGGGGAGCGTTAGGCGCACAAGGTACGCACGTGGGTACAGGCCCCGGGATGCCACTGGGGGGCGCCACTACGTGCTGCGCCCCGCTTCACTCCGTTGGGGCCTTGGACACCGAACTGAGCACCACCCGGCAGGGCAGGGGGCGAGGGGCGGCGAGAAACGAACGCCCCAGAGTGGGGGCGGGCTGGCGCCCGGCTCCCCGTGCACCACGACCTTTCTTCGAGTCCCCGCCCCGGGCTCCGCGGCTCCCGTGACCCCCACCCCAGCCTGGCTGCGCGACACGGCGCGGCAGCTCCAGCTCCGTCCTTGGAGGGTGTGGAAGGGTGGGTTTGGGGCCGGGGGCGGGTCTGGGGGCGGACCCGGAGGCGGGGCTGTCTCTGCGGCAGGGCCCAGCTCGGCTTCCCCCGGTCTCTCTCTGTCTCTCCTCCTCCCTCCTGCTCCGGGCGGAGCCCGGCATGGGGGGGCCGGCGCCCGGCAGGCCAGGTACGGCGATGTAGAAATTGGGGAGGTTTGGTGCGGGGAGGTGGGATGGGGGGAGAAGGGGCAGTGAGGATTGGCGGGGCGAGAAAAGGAGAAACCCTGGGTAGCAGGACAAGGAGAAGGGGAGGGTGCCCAGGAACCTGCGGCCCTTGGTTGAAGAGGGCGATGAACCCGGCCAGGTTTGGAACAAACGGGGAAAGGAGAAGCCGGCAGTGAGGAGGGGTGCCTAGGAGAGGTGAGGCTTGAAGGCGCAAAGGAGAATGTGTTTGGGGGAAGGGAAACTAGAGCAGGTATGGAGGCCGCAGCTCAGAAGGTAGCTATGGGGCCAGACTGGAGACCTCTGGGTAGGATTGAGGGCAGGGACTGGAAGAGGGAAGCCGGGAGCCTCCCAGATCCTGGAGGAGGAAGAAGGTGATTTGGGCCCATCAGAGAGGGAGGCGGAGACCGTGGCGGAGGGGCCAGGGCGCAGGAATAGGGGTGGACCAGACGAAAGGCTGGAAAGAAAGGTGGAAAGGGGAACGGCTGCAAGCAGTGGAGATAGATGGGTGGATGGTATTGTAGATGCCCAACTCAGAGTGCCCCCACCCTTTCTCCAGCGTCCCCACCCTGCCCACATTACATCCCCCCCAGCCTCTGGGCCCAAGACTGGGTGGGAGTCTGACTGTCCCATGTTCCCTTGTGGGATGTAATATACACAAGTAGGCCGGGGCATAACTCCTTTCTGTAGGTATGTCCAGTTCTGAGGAGCTGATGGGTGTTTCTGGAGGCCTGTGTGTGCTGTGGGTGTGTCGGGGGGTGTTTATGTCTGTGTCTGCCTGCTCCTCGGTGCTGTTTACCTATGCTGATCTATGTCTGGTCCTCTGTAGATACGGGTCTGTGGCCCTGTGGCTTATATGTCTGAATGTGTGTGTGTGGCTGTGGGGTTGCTGTGCATTTGGGGGGCCTGACTGTGGTGGATCAGAGTGTATTTACAGGATGGGAATCTGTGTTAGTCTGATCTCTCCAGAGTGTATCTGTGGCTCTGAACACCTTTGTCAGGGTGTGTGACTGTGTACACATGTCTGTCTCTGTCTGTGAGTCCCAGAGGTGGAGTTGGGTTTTCTGTGCCTCCATCTGTTCTCTCTCTGAGGACCCGAGTCACATCTCTGCTCCTTTTTCTCTTTCTCTCATTCATTCTTGCCCCTACCCCCACCCCACATCTTTCTTTTTTCCTTTCCATCCCCCATCAAGTGGATCCGGGACCCAGGGAGGGCCAACCCCCGGGCCTGGTGGCACTGAGCAAGGCCCCCCAGCCCCCACCTCCCGCCCCACGACGACATGAACCTTCTCTACCGAAAAACCAAGCTGGAGTGGAGGCAGCACAAGGAGGAGGAGGCCAAGAGGAGGTAAGTCTGCGTCCTGGATTGCCCCTTCGCCTGTCCCACCTCTTCTTCCCCCGGAATGAGCCATATCCCTCTTCCCTTCCTGGGTCTCACAGCCTGGTGATCAGTCTGATCTCAGAGTCTGTGCTCAGTACAGAACTGCTGGAGTTGCACACACCCTGTCCTCACCCTGCTCCTGGCTCCAGCCCCTGTTCTGGCCGCTTAGGGGTCTTACAGCTCAGGAGCACCCTGCTGACTCGTCCCCATCTCTGGAGGCCTGAGTCACTCCTCCCTGACTCACCTCTGGCCTGTGGTCTTCTCCTCTCTGTCAGTGTGGGGCTGGCACCTGCTCCCCCTGTCACCTGACCTTGGAAGGGGCAGGCCCTGCTGTCCTCACAGTCCAGGCATGGGGTCATTGGAGGGGCACCAGAGAGGACCCATTTGGCCCCCTCACAGCCTCCTCTGCTGGGGGAGGTGAGTTGCCAAGTGACAGGTTATGTATGTGTGGTAGGGGACTACAAGCTGGGCTCTGCAGGTAAGCCAGGTCTAGGTACCCTTCCTGCTCACCAGCTCTCTTTGCCCTCCCAGGGATCTGAGGCCTGGCCTGGCTCCCCACTCTTCACCCCCACTGACTGCACAGCCTCTTGGAGCCTGAGTCAGAGCCCCTTTTCCTGCTCCCTTTTCCCTCCTTGTAACTGTGGAGTTTAATTCTTGATGTTAATTAGATTAATCAGAGCTATCACTGCAGTGATCTCTCCCTAATAAAGGGTTAGTAGACAGGGCCTTAATGAGAGCCCACCCCACAGCAGCTCTCCCCACTTGCCTGCCAGCTGCCCCCCATTCACTCACACAGAAGCTCAGGGACAATGAAAGGAAATGGGGGTGAGCCTGGGAGGGTGACAGAGAGAGGACAGCACTGAGGGAGAGGAGAGAGAGAGGAAGGGAGAAAAAGCGTTGGTTGGGGGAGGCTGCTCTGAGGATGCGGCAGCACAGCCCAGGTCTGAGAAAGAAGGTGCCGTGCAGGTGTGGATTATAGGGCGCAGTAGCTGGACTGGAGGGGAGGCCAGAGGGCAGGTGTGGGCCTGCGTAAGAGGGACAAGGAGCAGCACTGTGGCGACAGGTTATGTGCCTGGCAGGGCTGTGCTACCTGGGGCTGCATCTCTCTACCTATGCATGAAGCCGTCCACACGTGTGTGGGAGGTGCCCAGGCTGGGACCAGCAAGCTGCAGGGATGCGCCCCTGCACACATACTCAGCCCTCCTCTCATTCCTGTGCCCGTCCCCATTTCCTTGCCTTTTTCAAACCTTAGGGGTTTTGCCTGAAGCTTCTTCAGTGCCCTGGGCCTTCAGGCTCCCCCATTGCCACCCTGGATCCTTTTCCTTCCCCCTGGGAGGCCACAGGGTCACAAATCCCTCCTATGGTGGCCGATGGGGAGGCCCAAACCTGAGGCCCCATCTCTGCTTCATCTTGGCCTTCTCTTCCCAGCTCCAGTAAAGAGGTGGCTCCCACAGGCCCGGCAGGGCCCGGAGCTGGTGCGGGGCCCGGGGTCCGTGTGCGGGACATCGCCTCGCTGCGCCGCTCCCTCAGGATGGGCTTCATGACAATGCCAGCCTCCCAGGAGCACACCCCCCACCCCTGCCGCAGTGCCATGGCCCCGCGCTCCCTCTCCTGCCACTCAGTGGGCAGCATGGACAGTGTGGGGGTTGGGCCTGGGGGTGGCAGCAGGGGTCTCGCAGAGGACAGCAGCACTCGAAGACCTCCAGCGAAGCCTCGGAGACACCCCAGCACCAAGCTCAGCATGGCAGGGTCGGGGGCAGAGACCCCTCCCAGCAAGAAGGCAGGTGAGGCACCCTTCCCCCTCCCCAGTGGGGAGCTGGGAGCTGGGAGCATCTATTCTATAGCCAGGGAGGTCTGCTGGGAGGGTTCATTAAGGGAAGAACCAAGAAGTGGAAGGTTCCATTCTTACAGGGGGTGGGGGTTTGTTTTTGCAGGGAAAGCTCCCTGGAAAGTCCATTTGTGGGAAAAAGGGTGGCCTTGGAGGGACCGGAGGGAGGGGGAGAGTTCTGAGTGGGAGTTGCAGACTCTGGGGAATTCACTGGAAGGGCTGAGGACCCACTGGTGGAAGGGGAACCTACTGAGCTCTAAGCTGGGGGAAGTGGGGAATAAAGAGGCAGACGTGTCCTTCCTTGCAGCTGGGTCCAGGGGCCAGAAGGGGTCTCCCCTCTCCTTCCCCCACTAAGTGCTGGGTTTATTTTCTCTCTCCTGTCCTGCCCAGGCTCGCAGAAACCAGCCCCCGAGGGCCGGGAGGCCAGCCGGAAGGTCCCTCCACAGAAGCCCAGACGAAGCCCCAACACCCAGCTGTCTGTCTCCTTCGACGAGTCCTGCCCCCTGGCCCCCTCTTCTCGAGGGGGGAACCTGCCCCTTCAGCGCCTGGGTAGGGGGTCCTGCGTAGCTGGGGACCCTGAGGTGGGTGCCCAAGAGGAAGAGCCTGTGTACATTGAGATGGTGGGGGATGTCTTCAGGGGAGGAGGGCGAAGCGGAGGGGGCCTGATTGGGCCCCCTCTTGGGGGTGGGGGCCCGACCCCTCCAGCTGGTGCTGACTCAGACTCAGAAGAGAGTGAGGCCATATATGAGGAGATGAAGTACCCACTGCCTGAGGAGGCAGGGGAAGGCCGGGCTGATGGGGGTCCTGCATTGACAGCAACCTCCTCATTACACCAGCCTCATGCCCCTCAGCCCCACACCCACCGCCGTCCAGCTTCAGCCCTCCCGAGCTGGAGGGACGGGACGCCCACCAAGACCACCCCTTGTGAAATCCCCCCACCCTTCCCCAACCTCCTCCAGCACCGTCCTCCCCTCCTGGCCTTCCCCCAAGCCAAGTCCACTTCCCGAACCCCTGGCGATGGAGTCTCCAGGCTACCAGTCCTCTGCCACTCCAAGGAGCCAGCTGGCTCCACCCCAGCTCCCCAAGTGCCTGCCCGGGAGCAGGAGACGCCTCCCCCACCGCCTCCGCCTCCTGCTGCCAACCTGCTGCTTCTGGGACCCTCAGGCCGGGCCAGGAGCCACTCAACACCGTTGCCACCCCAGGGCTCTGGCCAGCCACGGGGAGAACGGGAGCTCCCCAATTCCCACAGCATGATCTGCCCCAAGGCGGCCGGGATCCTGGCAGCCCCTCCTGTTCCGGCTGCCTTGCTCCCCGGTCCCTCCAAGGACAAGGCTGTGTCTTACACCATGGTATACTCGGCAGTCAAAGTGACCACGCACTCTGTCCTGCCTGCCGGTCCGCCCCTGGGTGCTGGGGAGCCAAAGACAGAGAAGGAGATCTCAGTCCTCCATGGGATGCTGTGCACCAGCTCAAGGCCCCCCATGACCGGGAAGTCCAGCCCCCACAGCGCGGCCATTGGCGCAGCAGCTGGGGTCCTCCACCACCGTGGCTGCCTGGCCTCCCCCCACAGCCTTCCAGACTCAACTGCAGGTCCCCTGACTCCACTCTGGACCTACCCAGCTGCAGCAGCTGGGCTCAAGAGACCCCCTGCCTATGAGAGCCTTAAGGCTGGAGGGGTGCTGAATAAGGGCTGTGGAATGGGGGCCCCAGCCCCCATGGTCAAGATCCAGCTGCAAGAGCAAGGGACCGATGGGGGTGCCTTTGCCAGCATCTCCTGTGCCCACGTCATCACCAGTGCAGGGACACCAGAGGAGGAAGAAGAGATGGGTGCCACGACATTTGGGTCAGGCTGGGCTCTGCAGAGGAAGGTCCTGTATGGAGGGAGGAAGGCAAAAGAGCTGGACAGTGAGTGAGGGGTGAGAGTGTGGGGGTGGGGAGCTGGGTATGCCTGTGATGGTTTGGGGGGAGGTGTTGGAAAGGTTATTTGGAAACCACAGCCCATCGTGTTAAACGGAAGTTTCCTGGGAGACAGGATACAGGCACGCAGCAGACTAAAGGGATGGGGTCTCTGCATGTGCTGGAGGGGGGAGGAGATCTGCCATGGGGAGGGGTAGAATCTGCCCCCAGAGCAGCCTCCTCCTTCTGCCCCATGCCACTCTATTCCCTGTCCTTCCCTTTGCTGGGCAGCAGGGATATGTATTTGTGAGTGTTCGCACACTAGGAGCTAAACACAGCTGCCTCCCAGCTGTTGCCATGGCAACCCATCCAGACCAGAGGGAGAGGAGAGGGGGGCCCCTACCGTTGCCTGGCAACGCAATGCTCTGCCAGGCCTACTCTCAAAGATGAGCTTAGTTCACATGCAGCCCTTCCCCCCAAAGCCTCCCCACTTCCCGGCTCAGGATTTGGGGTATTCCCCACCTCCTGGGGAACAACGCTCCTGGTCTCTGTTTTAGGGCTGGTCATTCTGGTCCTATCTGGGGCTGGAAGGGCTCTGCAGCTAAAGCTGGGATCGGGGAGACCCCTTTGTCCAGAGAAAAGGGTTTAGCAGCAGCAAATAGCTGATTCTCAGCCCAGGGGTGGTACCAATGGGTAAGAAGGAAGGTAGCAGTACGGGGATCTCCTGTGTGTGTGTGTGTATGTTGGGAATACATGAAGTAGGGTCACTCGCTTCCCAGCTGTGGCCTGCAAGGAGCAGTTCCTTGTGGTCCACCCATGCCAAGGTGTATGTAGCTGGGGGGACAGCAAGACACCTGCCACACCCAGTTACTGAGCTCTCCTTGTCATCCCAGCAGAGATCGAAGACAGTGCCCGGGCCTGGAATGGCAGTGCCGAGGGTCCAGGCAAGGTGGAGCGTCAGGACAGGGGCCCTATGGCGTCAGGAATCCCAGTGAGGAGCCAGGGGGCAGAGGGACTGCTGGCCAGGATCCACCACGGAGGGGATCGTGGAGGAAGCCGCACGGCCCTACCCATACCCTGCCAGACCTTCCCCGCCTGCCACCGCAACGGAGGTGACACCCTGCCCATCCATGCACACAAATGACACCTGTACGCAGATGGGGCTGGCTGGGGGGCATCGCCCAGGGTCCAGGGCCTGGGCCCTACATACTAATCCCACATCTCTGCTTCTGTCCTCTGATGAGGCAGGGTAGCCTGCATGGGGCTCTTAGGGAACTGCGGGAGGAGGAAGTGGAGCCTCTGCCCACCCCACCCCTCACTCCTCCTTCTGCCTCAGACTTCACTGGAGGCTACCGCCTGGGGCGTTCGGCCTCCACCTCTGGAGTCCGGCAGGCCGCGCTCCACATGCCCCGGCCCTGCAGCCAGCCTCGGGATGCCCCAAGCCAGGTGAGGAGGAAGAGATTGTGTTTTAATTGTGAAGGAGTAGGCGGGGAAGAAGGCCTGGGTGAGGCCCCACACAGACTAAGAGGAACCCGATCAGGAGAGGGGGTTGGAGGAGGACCCTCGAAAGGGGCTACTTGAATGGAAGAGATCAGGCCCTCCACCAGCCCTCCATGCGTGGCTGTGCATCTAAAAAAAGGTGCGCCCTCTGGGTGAACCAATTAGAAAACTACATCCTACTGGGAAGACCAGATTTTAGAAGGCGCCTGTTCCTCCGGGTGAGGCAGGCCTAGCCTGGCACCAAGGTGCACAGCCAGGCGAAGGGAGCAAGGGCTGGATTTCTGCTCCCATCCCATGCCATCCCATCCCATTCCACACCTCCCTCCCCCAGCCAGCGGGAAAGGACAGTGGCCTTGGAGGACGGGTATTGATCTCTGCGGTAGGGCGGGCCCGATCACTCTGAGGTCCTTGACCCTCCTTATACCTTTCTCCCCCCGTCGGCCGGCGGCGGGAGGAAGGGGCACAGATGCCCCCTGCACTGCCCCTGCCACCCCAGCCCGCCCGCGAGCGCGATGGCAAGCTGCTGGAGGTGATCGAGCGCAAGCGCTGCGTGTGCAAGGAGATCAAGGCGCGCCACCGCCCCGACCGAGGCCTCTGCAAGCAGGAGAGCATGCCCATCCTCCCCAGCTGGCGGCGGGGGCCTGAGCCCCGCAAGTCCGGCACCCCGCCCTGCCGCCGGCAGCACACTGTCCTCTGGGACACTGCCATCTGAGGAGGCGGGCGGCCAGGGCACCTGGACTGGGGAGTGGGGTGGGGTTGCCTGGCTCTCGGGGGAACTTACCTTGAATGAGGGACACTTGAAGGAGCAGGTGAGAGCAAGCCAGGGAGAACCCCTACCGGAGCCTCCCTCACCCCCCACCCCAGGAAGGGCTTCTGCCAGGCCCATCAGCCGTCGGGCGCCAGCAGCACCTCCTGAAATTGGGAGAGGTCTAGGAGTGTTTGCTTGAGGTTGGAAAGGAGGCCCTGGCTCTCCCCACAAGCGAGGTGGAGCCTTCCTCCTGAGACAGGAAAGGCCAAGCCAGAGGTCAGTGTGGGGGAGAAGGGGAGGGCTGGAGAGGAGGGAGGTGGATTAAGTGAAGGAGAGGGACTAGAGAGTCAGATAGAGGGATTCCTTATAGAGGTGGGAATGGGGAGGGGATATTTATTTTGTTATTTATTTCAGTCCAGAGAGGACAATTTTCGGCCCTTATGACCCGCTCTTGAACAGAGAGTGGGGACTGCTGGGCCAGTAAAAGAAACTAGTTGGCACTCTCCCCAATGCCTAAAAGCCCCACCATCCGTGCCCACCCGGAAGCTACAGATTGGTCTGGAGCAGGGAGCAGTGCAGGAGAAGGGAGGGGCTCTGAGGGCCACAGCCTCATTTACAGTATTTACATGTCTTCAGAATTTGGTAGTGAGTGTGGTCTGCTCTGAAACAGGCCTCTCATTTAGCTCTGGGGTGAGGGTCTAGCTCCAGGAATGGGTGGGATGATGGGGAAGGAGGGAAATTTTAGTGGGGGGGGCAGGCAGGGTATTTATTTAAATTAAAAAAAACTCAGAAGAGATGTCAGGAACTTTTTTTTAATTCCTTTCTTTTCAGAATAATATATTAAAAGACTAATGATCCTAGAACTGGCTTCTAATTAATGTGCTCTGCCTTTCTTACACCTGTTTCTTTTCTCTCTTGCCCTTGGTTGGTGGGATTGGAGGTGGTACAGGGGGGTTGAATGGCTGTGACAAACAGGGAGAGGTGGAGTTGGAGGTAAGTCTTGGGAATGCCACCACACAGTGACTCGGAAAGCACTGATTGAGCATCTGATGTGTATTTGGCAATGCACCTGCACAGAAGGAATATTCAGACTGAAGCCCACCCTCAAGCAGCTAATAGTCTACTCAGGGAGATGTGACAGCTGAGCCGACACTAGAGAGAGGGAGAGGGCTGGAATCATCTGGAAGGCTTCCTGGAAAGTGAGCCTAAAAGGACAGGTAAGGCTTGGATGAGCCCGATGGGGAGGAGGGAGCATCCCAAGGTCACAGTATGATTGCCTACAGAACAGTAGAAGATGGGGGTGGGGGTCAGGAAACATGTTTAAATAATGCAGAGGGCCATGAATCAGCCGTGATGGAGCTGGTTCAGAATGATGGACCTCAAAACAAGATGCTGGTCTCAGGAAGGAATCCACGGAGGAGGATAAATAGGGTGTTCCGGAGAACAGAGAGTGAGGGACAGTTTGCAAGATGCAGCTGGAAGAAAACATCCTCAGGATCGGGATGAACTTGCTGAATGGTGCACCCTTGAAGCCCAGGCTTGGGAGTTGTGACTGAGAAGTGATCACCTTGACAGAACAAGGAAAGCAGGGTTGAGGGAAGAAAGTCGAATTTGAAGTAATGGGGAATATTCAGGTTTGTTACCAGCTAGAACAGAGTTTATAGTCTGTCCTCTGTATCTATGAGTTCAATTTGTTTATTTTTACATTTCACATGTAAATAAGATCATACAGTATTTGTCTTTCTCTGACTTATTTCACATAGCATAATATCCTCAAGGTCCATCCATGGCAGGATTGTCACAAATGGCAGGATTTCCTATGGCTTTTTAATAATTAGTTAGAAAATTAATGGAGGGAAATATCCCACTTATAAGGGCAACAAAATTCATTAAATATGTAGGAGTAACTTTAAGAAAAAATGTGTAGGATCTATATTTGGTCAGTCAGTAAAACTAAAGTTTTTTTTTTTTAAACCAGGAAGACTTGAATAAGCAGAGTAATAACTTGTTCTTAGGTAAGAAGACCATAATATAAAAGATGTTAAGTTTTCCCTACATCCATAAATTCAATGCAGTTTCTAAATCCCAAAAGGATAATTTGGGAGACTTGACAAATAGTTCAAAGTTCATTCAGAATGACAATGAGAAAAACCAGAACATCCTGAAACAGATGAGTAGTGGGAAACCAGGCTACCAAATATTAAAAATTGAAGTAAAAGCACAGTGTACTCAGATTGGCACAGGACTGGCTCATCCCTCAGGATAGAGTCCAGAAAGAACCGAAATGCACATGGGAATTTAGCATGTGTATGATAAAGGTGATATTTTAATGGTGGGGAAAAGATTATTCAGTAATGCTTTCTTGAACAATTAGCTAGTCAGGGGAGAGTATGGGAAGCTGGATTTCGATTTCATTCATTATACCAAAAGATTTCAGTGTGAAAGCAAAACATTAATAGAGAAAAGTAGGCAAACATTCTTACAACCTGGGATGGAGGAGTCTTTTCTAAAAGGACACAAAAATCACTAAAAGACTTAAGTTTGATCACATTCACAACTAAAACTTCCATATGGCAAAGTCAAACTACAACCATTGAACTGGGAAAATACTTCTGAGACATTTGAAAAAGATTGATACAATATATAAGAAAGATTAGTGAGTTGATAAGGAAAGAACAACCCAAACAAATGTGAATAAAGGCCACGAAGTCACCAAAGAAACAGAAATCAGCAATAAGCACGTTCAACCTTAACAATCAGTAATGCAAAATAAAGCAATCATAAAATACCTTTCACCTATCAGACAAAACAAAAAAAAACTCATAACATCAATCTGCCAAGTATGTGCAGAAAACAGGTGCTCATTGTGTAAATGTAAACACAGTCTTTCTGGAGGCTGGTTTAATAATATTTCTTAAAAATTAATATGTGCATAGTTTCGACTCAGAAATTCCATTTCCAGGAATTTTTCCTATGGAAATAGGTACACAAGTGTGCAAGGTTAAATGCACAGGGGTGCTAATTGAAGCATTGTTTGAAATAACAAAAACTTGGAAACAACTTCAACTTTATCAGCATGGCACTGACTAATTTATGGTAACAATGGAAAACTGAAGCTGTTAAATAGAATACAGAAGATGCTCTCAGCACAAGAAGCAGTTCACAGGACATAAGTAAACAAAAGCAATGTGCAGAAAAGTGCATATAGAAAAAGCCCATGTTGAGAAAAATGATTTGTAAGTTTTTATGTAAGTCTTGGAGGAAATATACCAAATAGTTGATGGTGATTATTTTGAGGCCTGAGAAGAGAGGGGACTTAGTTTAGTGTTTTAATTTACATTGCTTGAATTTTTATGTGTATGTCTTCCTTCTGAAATCATAAAATATATACAGGGGTCATGACAAGCAGAGGCAGGCATGAAGTGTCAGGCACCGTATGGCTGGCATGTGTGGATTCAAATCCCAGGTGGGCACTTAGAGCCAAGTCTGTTGCTCTCCTTCTCTACAAAATGAGGTAATTAGAGAATTGAAGGAGGAAAGTAAGAGAGCGCAAAGCCTCCCTCTGAGGCTGATGAGAGTTGTGGGGCTAAAGACAGAGTTGGGGTGGGATGAGAGCACCTAGAACCTCAGCATCAGAGCAGTGAGGGGCAGGAGCGGATGGAGCCAGGACAGGCAGGGCTCCCTTTAAAGCAGGTGCTTGAGGCTGCTGTGGGCTAGGGAGATGCAGCCCTTCTGCTAGTCAAGACCCCAGGCCTGCCAAGAGTTACAAATATCAAGAACATAGTCTGTACTGGGACCATAAACCTCACAGGAAGGATGGAGGGATAAGCACTCCTGGGAAATCAGCCTGGACTCCACCCTGCCTGCCTGACACTTGGTAAAACTCACCTGGGAATCACCTGGGAGTCCACATCCCCTCCTGGGGACACTAAGTCACTCCCGACACTCACCTTCTACTTTTTGAAACCCCTGCACAGCTGGGGCTGTATGGCAGCACAGCCAGAAATGGGTGGAGACCTTCACTGAGGAGGTGAGGCACTCGAACCAGAGGGCAGAGAAAAGAGAAACCTCAGAAATGATATTCTGCTCTCTTTTCATGGCCCGTTTGGCTATTGAGGTCATATTTCAGCTCTGAAGAGAGATTTCTATGAAAGATTACTAGGGTCACGTCAAAAAGACCAGGGAGCAGACTTGAATGGGCTCCTTCCCAAGGGCCAAAGGATGGGGAAATTCATGCATCAAGAAGGCGGAGAGCTGCAAAGGGTTGAAAGGCAAACATGGTTAAATTCTTAAGTTCATAGTAACAAAAAGATTTCTCAGAGGATATTAGAGAATCGATTTGTTATTTTGAAGGTGGTACATAGAGGGAAAGAATCAAGCATCTATCTACCTTCATGAAATCATCATCGAAGGGAAGCTTCTCTTTCTAGAAATATCCCAGCTGATAGATAAAAACAGAATTTTAGAACTGGACAATCACCACGAAGTAACAGATCCAGGTGTTAAGTTTCTACAGCAGCTAACATCACAGATTATAAGAGAAGAGATGACGAGATATTATGTGCCTCCTGATAGAGAAATGCACCACCAGCTACAAAGTGTTCTTGCCTCCAAAAAAATCAAACCTGGAAACACAATCAAGCCTGTAGGTGCCACTACCAATTACAGGAAACACAGAGGAGAAGGGAGCTCATTGAACACCAAGGGATGTGATCAGCAAAATCAAGGCCTGTAGGAAATGCCTCTGGGCAAGCAACCTGGATGGATTCTTCAACAAACACATTGCCAGGGAAAACAAAGAGATGGAGAAGGAACCTGTAGGTTCAAGGAGAATAAAAAAGATATGTCAACTATTGCAGTCTATGGGCCTTATTTGGATCCTGATTCAAACTTTTTCAAAAGCTTATTTCTTACATTTATAAGACCATTGGGAATATGTCCACTGACTGGATATTTATTGACATTAGGGAATTATTATTAATTTGGGGGGCATGATAATATACTATGGTTATGTATTTTTCGAGTCTTTAAAGAGACAATACTGAAATACTAATGGGATAAATTATATGAGGTCTGGGATTTGCTTCAAGGTAAAATGGAAAGGGAGATGAAACAAGAATGGCCATTAGTTGGTCGTTGTTGAGACTAGATGCATGTTTTGTCTACACTTGGGTCTGTCTGAAATTTTCCACAATAAAAAGTGTTGTTTTTAAAGCCCGTGTGACATATCAAAATTTTTTCTCCTTTGAAAAAAACTGTGGGTTGGGAGCAAATGATCTAGGAAACTCCTCCCAGCACATACTCTCTCTCCAATTAAAAGTAAACCTTTTGTTTTTACAAAGCAATGTACATGCATTGTAGAAAGTTATCAAATACCAAAAAGCAAAAATAAAGCAAAACACCATATTTCCCCCTCCTCGAGGGTACCATTTAATAGCTGACTGTATAACATTACAGGATTTTTTTATACATATATACACTTTTTAACAAAACAAGACAACCCAGCACATGCTGTTTTGAAGCTACTTTTTTCCATCTATGGTCTCCTCCTCTCCATATCAACAGATTTTCATCTTATCTAATGCCCAGGCCACACATACATCTCCCTAATTGTGTCCCAAAGTGTCCTGGTCTTAGCTCAGCTGCCATAACAAAATACCATAGTCTGGGTGGCTGAAACTATAAGCATCTATTCCTCACAGCTCTGGAGGCTGGGAAGTCCAAGATCCACATGTTGCCCAGTTGGGTTCCTGGTGAAAGCTCTCTTCCTGGCTTGCAGACAGCTGCCTTCTTGCTATATTGTCACAGAGCCCAGAGAG